TACAAGGACCGACCTTTACAGTTGTACCTTCCAATAAGTTTGACACATCGAATATCATTGAAAACATTTTGTTGCATCGAAGTTTTGCGTATTTACAGCTCAAAATCCATGGATTTGATGTGAGGCGGCGGCGCTCGCAAAATCGCTCTGGTCCCACGCGGTGCAAAAAAGCCAAAACGCGCGATGTCGTCAACGTGTTAACCCATTGCGTAACGCGTGCTGCACATGGTGAAGCACGGGTTTTCAAATGGTATTTTCGACATTTTTTCGTGCTTCAATTATATAGGAGTGAAGATCTGAATCCGGAGAACAACATATAGGCATGGGATTACGACTACGTTTTAATTACTTTTATCTCTTTTTTTCCTTACTTATATTCTTCAAAATACATTTTCAATTCTGTCGCACTTTCGGTTACCCTACTCCCTATACCATGCGATAATAATCGATTCCACTGAACAAAAATAAACGTGAAATATTGTAAATGTATAAGATATATGTACTGTGCTATAATAGATGTTTATAATATAAATGAAAGTTTTATATGGATCGCGCAGCACGCGGCGGGGGTCTAAATAGGCGCCGGCCACACGCGCCAGCCAGCCAAAAAACGCCGCGGTACGCAATGGGTAAAGCAACTTTGTCTAGGTTTGATATGAAACGTGAGAGGCAAGAAAAGGCGAGCAATCACAGCAGCAGAAGACTCTGTGCTTAGTCGAGGATCCATTTTATGCGGAACTATGAATCACAGTGAAATTGTCCTTCTTTCTTCCTTTATTGAACAGGATAGTTGCAACATCACATTCCTGATGGTATGAATTCTCGAAAACAAATGATTATGGTTCACATCCGTCAGTCTTTAGGCGATAAGCTATGATTAGACTTAACGCTAAGAAGATGAACTCAAGGACAACAAGCTGAGCTTCTTGAACCAGCAGCAGGTAGTTCTTGTTTACAATTCCGAATTGTGGAGCTCTAAAAGTTATGCTGCTCCCGACTGAGAAAGTATCAGAAACAGGAATCTCGGAGGGTTCACGAGGCAACTCACCGTAGAATTCCAGCAGCATTTCACGAATCTGTTCACGACTGAGAAAGTATCAGAAACAGGAATCTCGGAGGGTTCACGAGGCAACTCACCGTAGAATTCCAGCAGCATTTCACGAATCTGTTCAAGCCCTGTGGTTGCAGCAACATAAACGTGTCCTAGGTACAGGAGTCCGTGTGCAATTCCTTTTTCGAGGAATTGCATAGGCTTCCTGCACCCAGTTGCGTTACATGGGTCGGGGACAGAGGGAGTTGACTCTCGTAGTGAAGGAGGGGCTATGCAGCCACCATCGAGGAAGATCGACGTAGCTAATCACTACTCATGCATTTATATTGATGAAATGTCATAAGGCTGTTTTTTTGCCTTTACGATGAGTCATTTTACAAAGAAATGAGGAGAAAATATCACCGGAATCTCGAAGATTTTCTTGATATTGAATCCTTCATGGCACCCGCTCCGGCATTCCATCGCACAAAAAATAGATGAAAATAAACTAGGCGCTATCGCATTATACGGGGGCATTTCGTAAATGCCTGTTCACGTGTCGTTAACGTATAAACATGTACATGATTGACGTGTCAAGTAGTAGTTCCCAGTTTACACAAAAGGGCGCATGTTTTACATAGCCTTAAAGGCTAGGCTTTTCAAAGGAAGGAAATAGAACGAAGGTGATTGCAGCGCCTTATCTCAAGGTACGGCGGCATTGTGATGGCAATGTATAATATTTCAAACCGCGTAAAACATCCTTCCGCCAGAGATGGTTCCAAGCCTTAGGTGGAGAGGAAGAGACTGATGTTCCTGCCTCCTAATGGCCTTGATCCTAGTGGATGCCCCCGCATCTTGCTGTAGCTCCCACAAAGATTAAATGTTTCAAAATCAAAAAAAAGACCCAGTGGAATGCGTAGGAATTAAACTATCGACATCAGGTCAGAATATACACATTTAAACTCGTTCTAAGCTTCAACCAGTCCTAGCAAGTATGTAACCGCGAGTTGATAAGAGTGAACATGTTTAGACAATGCCACACATATTGCGATAGCGCCAGAAATACGAACTACTTCCATTCGATTCATGTCAATGTTTTTTGCCTTCTAGTTTGACATACGCGTATTAGTGTATTTTGTGAGGTCGGTCCACAATTTCTGGTTCACTCCGGCTGAGGTGGAGCCAGAAGAGACCCGCTCGGGTCTTCAAATCTTTACTAGAATCTGTACGAAGATCTATATGATAAGCTCAAGATAAGAAACTATGAAGAAAATCACAAAGTTGCACAGGATAAAGCAAACACAAATGTAAGTCATTTATATAAAAACCTTTATATACATATAAAATAAATGTAGCTTAATATACACACTCCAAACCACCACTCCTCCTTCCCCTTACTGATGAGCACTAAGGGAGGACACAACGTTCGTCTAGTTTCCGTCTAAGGGCACGTGCGAAACGGAAACTAGGCTACTCTTTGTTCGACCCCACATAATAAAGTAACAGAAAAAATTTTCTCTCAATCATGTCAGGAAATCAAACATTATTGTATTTGTAAAAAGTATACTTCATAATTTCTCTATTATATGGTGTCGAACGGTCTCAGAAGAAAGTATATTTTGCCTTGTCCTGCTATCTTCTTGAAACTTCAGCGAACAAGCTTTCGACAGCCGATTTCCACATTGGATCTGGCATTAGTAGGTGATTGCTTTCGATGCATAACTCCTCTAGTATTTCGTCATAAGACCATGACTCGTGGGAATGTTTTTGTTCACAACCCAGCATTCTTGTGAAACATTCGCAAGGCGAACTGCGGCCAAAAACAGCAGTTAACAAACAAAAACAAGTCAAAATTCATTGCTAAAGCTTTCAGCCTCGCGGTCATTGCCGATATCGGCTAACCGGCTCAACACGTTATACTTGTGAGTGCTGACAAGCTATGGTAAGGTAAGCACACCATGGGCCGTATGCAACAAGCCCTGAAGGTCTTCGGGGCAGGGTCGACATTACCTTGGTACTTTTCAGAAAATTTTTTACGACCCCCCCCCATGGGGAATTTGATACGACCCCACCATCACCACGACACTCAGGAGGCTTCCCCAATACGACCGCGCTTCTTCCTCACCCCCCTCCCCAAGCACCACCGCCACCATCATGACTATTTCTATAGAATTCGATTCTGGGACCAGTCGACACACCAAACTCCACCCGCTCTTCCCCCGAAAATTCTGCCGAGGGGGGGGGGGGAGCAGGGAGTATACATGCAAAGAAACGGCAAATTTTTTCTCCCTCTCACACTACACTCCCTAAACTAACCCGGCCTATTATGGCCAATTATACATAATGTCTCACGCAGTACTCCCGCTTCAGATTTCACATGTAAATTCAAGGGACTGAAGCGAGTACGACCCTCCCCTCCCTTCAAGCTCAACAAAATACGACTCTCCCCCATAATGCTTGTAGCAACATAGGGTAGACCCTGCTTCGGGGACCTTCGGGGCTTGTTGCATAAGGTCGTCGGGGATATACCCCGGCCGGGGGTATGTCCCCTAAGGTCATACACAACAAATTCCGAGAGTCGTCGGGGACATACCCCCCTGACCTTCGGGACTTGCTGCATACGGCCCTATGAAGAGCTGAGTTGGGATGAAATGGTGCCCCGGTAGCGTAACTGGTAGCGCACTTGCCCGGAAAGCGAGAGGTGCGGGTTCTAGTCCCGCCTGGGGCGAAAGTTTTGTTCACAACCCAGCATTCTTGTGAAACATTCGCAAGGCGAACTGCGGCCAAAAACAGCAGTTAACAAAAAACAAGTCAAAATTCATTGCTTCAGTTTCGCCACGACGACGTCCAGACATATGCTGAACATGAGGGTGACGATGCATGTTTGCCGCACTAACTTTGCAACTTCGGAGCGGTGTGGTACCTGTACCCGTTCCTACACAGCAATTCGAACTCTGATACAAACTCTGAATTATCTGACGGAGAGGGCGCCGTACATTCTTAGAATGCCCACCACGATTTTGGGTGAATTCCAATGCCTCTACAAAACTCAAACTCTTGCACTCTACAAAACTGGAGAAGTGGGTAGTGATGTTCGAGAAATCGCTCGACTGATAACGTTGTCAAGAGCGAAAATACGCCGCCAATGTGGCTTCACCTTTTCAAAGGCTTGAACTCTTTAAGAAAGAAGGAAAAAACCCAGCTGTTATTCAAATGCAACACAAATCAACATAATGAATGAAGCTGTTTATATTCTCCAAATACTAAGTTTCTCCAAATACATAAGTATTTTATTTCTTAAAAGCAATATGAAGGCCGTCACCACAGTTGAGAAGAGCTGAGTAGGTACGATTGTCATTGTGAATCTGTAAGGTGATTTGATGTTATCTGTGCATTACAATATCGATCTCATAACATTAGTAAAACAAACGTACCATCGTGTTAGTTTCATGAATGGCTTTGGTTGATACATCAAAAGTAGCGGGATCCCCTGTTACTCGAGCATGCCACAGAGCCTTGAACAAAATTTTATGAAGTTTTGTATAGTCACTGAAGATATCGTCTGCTCCACCTGTTTCTTTGAAATGCGTCTTGAATTAGATAAAAAGGTCAAATTTCGAACCGAATGCGAGAGCTTAGCGCTTCCAAAGGACTGATTCTCTATTTTTCTATAATGTTACTGTAATATACATACATAACCACTCTTAGTATACTGTCCGCACTATTCACAGCAAAGACGCTACGAGCGCGACGTATACGCGATTGCACGCTGGACTGACACAAAATGCGACCTGCTTAAATGCAAAAGGCAATTAGGCCGGGGTCAGACTTCGCGAATCGAGCGATTCGCTAATAGCGGTTCGCTAGCGTCCGCGGTCGCGTCGCGACTAGCGAATTGAGCGAATCGCGCGGCCTTACGCGTGCAGTACGCAAATACGTCATACGTCGACGATACGATAGCCTTTAACCTTCATTTGTAAGCAGAAGACAACTGGCTCAAGAATGTTGAGAGTAGTAGACACTTATCACTTATTTCTTAACTCACATTATCAATCATCAGCACTCCTCCTTTTCTCAATAAAGTGACTACTCGATCATAGTAAAGCGGATAGTTCTCCTGTAAAAATAGTACCATAGCGACAAATAAATTTGAGCTCAAGTAAGTGTCGTAAATGAACTACATATAGTGGACAATAATCGGAAAGGGAATAAGGATGACAAAAGGGATGATGGAATACCTTATCTGCATCAATGAATGCAAAGTCAAATGTCCCGCTTTGACCATCAGCTATCAACTTATCTGAAAAACACTT